CCCCAAAACCCCAAAACCCCAAAACCCCAAAACCCCAATATTTCTCTGAAATATTGAGCTAAAAATATGTTGAATTATTGTAGAACTCTTGGTTAGTATGTTATCCATGAATAATATCTTTGAAATCTCTTCTAAGCTCCTTGTTTTGCAGACTATTTATAGCACCAGAACTTACCTTTGACAAATAAATTCTCTGTATTCATCAGATTTGTTGGCTGGGAAATAGATCTTTGAGTATATTGATTTGAGTAAATCTGAAATAAAGTTTAGATCTCACTTACTTCAGCTGAGTATCATCATATTTAGGCATAGGAAAACCCCACAATCGTAATCATTAGGCTGTTGTGTACAAGTTCTGTACCATAACCCCCATTTCTTTGTAGCTTTCTTCTTTGCAGAAGGGTACAGTTCATCGTTATTTTGATTTAATTTCAAAAAATCTTTTGATATTTTTGACAATCTCATATCTTTTTGGAAATGATAAGCTCTTCATAGAATCAACAATAATAAACTTATTTGTCCTTTGCATCTACTAGAATTAGCAGCCAGTGGCTCTCTTGATAATGCACAGGGATGTAAATCCAGCGCTGCTTTTTAAGATCCACCTAGAGTTATCACCCATGCGCTTACCTTCTTAAAAAGCTTTGATATCTTCTTCTCATATTTCTCTGGGTCAAGGCCAAGAATTATCGGACATGCATAAGTCTGTAAGAAAGTAACCTCTCTTGTAAGGTATCTCCCAGCAGCAAGTTCTTTATTGATCAGCTGTATGAAAGCATTGATCACTTCATCATTAAGCCATCTAGAGGATCAGGTTGTATTCTTACTGATTATTTTTGAGTCTTTCATACCCTTGTTCAGATATTTCATAGTTCACATCAATAGTTGTCTCTTCTTTCTATACAGATCAACAACTTGGCATACCTTCGGCTGCTTATTTGGTTGAAGCTTAGCTCTAAACGGTCAAATTATTCCTTACTTTGGAGGTTTTTCCTTAGCTACTTTCTTCTTTGAGCTTCCTTTCTCGATACCTTTGAATGTAAAATGAACCTTTTTGGTCTTTTTCTTAGTCTTTCCTTCTTTCTTTAAAATATTGAAGATTGCTTTAGACTTTTTAGAAGGATCTTCAGGTTTCTTCAATATCTTCTTTAAAGGCTGTTTCTTGGCAGAAGTGGAAACATCCCTCTCTATCTTGACGATTATAGGAGCTTCTTCATTTTTAAGTGAATCTAAATCTGAAGTATCGCCATTTTGTCCATGTAGAGAATCTTCTCTACAGGAGATCTTATCAACATTAAGATCATCCTCAGGTAGATACTTTTCAGTAGGAGTTTTCTCTAAAGTGTTTGGTTCGGCAATTTCTTGGTACTCATTCAATTTTTGAAGATTCTTTAGGTCCCGCTTCTTTGGAGTCTGTTCGGTATCATCAAGTACCTATATATTACAAAAAACTCATACATCTTTGATTGGGGTAGTTATCTTATAATCTCACGAGTTGAATTGAAATTCTTCATTTCTCCATGGTTCATCAGAGCCGAGATTATCAAGGTCTAGTTCAAACTCAGGGGTTCCCTCAGTAAGCAATAAACTAGGGCATTCCTTCTCCTCAGTGATTTCAGGGAGTTCCTTTCTTTCCTCTCGAATCTTGACAATCTCTTCCTTTTGTTCTTCTTGAATCTCCTGAGTTGGCTTTTTAGTCTTGATTTGGGGTTCACTAAAAACTAAAATGAGTTGGATGAAAGATTTGCTTACATTAATTTCTTAGCCGACTCAGGCTTTTCTGGCTTATTTCAGCCCGAGTAGTTCTTCAAGCTGGTCATTGTTCCCTCAGTCCATATGAAGGTTAGCCTCAAGGTCATCATTTGGGTTAAGCAGGGTTGCTCCTAAGTATTTAGAACTCATGAGTTTATCCCCAGTGTCCCATTCAGCCTTGCCAATGTGCATATTTTGAAACAACATGAAGGGTTGTCTCTCTGATTTAAAATTAAAAGGATCGTCTTCATGAGTAAATTCTGACTTTTGACGGTTAATGAAATACTCATCTGGGCTTCTTTCGTCTAAATCTTGGAACAACTCACAGTCCTCTTTTCTGTAAGAAGTCAGTAGGGCTATAAATTGACTTACCCAATGATATTTCATTTTATCTTAAAATTAGTGAGGCTTTCATCATTTCAGCTGCTTGAGGATGAATTCTCGATTTCACCTGAAAAGTTAAGGCCAAGAGTTACTATCCAATGAGGAACCTTGCATCTCTGGAGAAGGTAGGATCTCTGTCATATTTATCTAAAAAATTATCAAGTTTTAGTAAAGAAAAGGGGTTTTGGGGTTTTGGGGTTTTGGGGG